CCTTGCTCTGGTCCTTCTCCTGCTGGCCAGACTCCCTGTGGCTTGGCCAGACCCAGCACTCCATGTGCAGGGGGACTGGAGCAACAAAGCTGAGGCGCAAATGTGTTCGTATTGAAAGTCTTGGTTCAACCTGCCGCAGATGGGGACTAGTTCAGAGGTCTAATACCCTTGCATCCATTCCATCTTTGCATTCAGACTTTGGTTTGGGCCCACACTACACAAAAGGGAGGAAACAAATTCTGTGCTCAAGGACAGAAGTAAGCAGAGATGGCAACCCCAACAGTTGATACACTGCACATATCGTGTTGAACTCCCCCTTCTCCTAACAGCCTTGCCCAAGTTGATACTCAGTATAATTTACATGAAAATGGCACTGTATCAGCTGCTGGAAAAGAGGGGAATAAAAGCAACAGAGAGCTGAGCCTTGCCCTGTGGACCTCAGGACAGAAGAGCAGCAACTCTCAGCACCAACTCATCCCTCAGGTCTCTTGCTGCCCAGTGGCATCCCTAACCCAGAGTCAGGCTCCTGAGGGATGTGTGTACCCAGAAGAGGTGCTGATGAAAACTGAACACTGCGTGGCGAAACACCCTGCCAACCAGTAGGAAATGCTGAGGAAAGGGCTATAACATAAACCTCTGCATCCCCAGGGCACTTCCCCCCACCAAAGGGAAGTGCCCAGGAGAGCTGAACGGTGCCACTAGCACCTGGCAGCTGGTTTCTGCCCAGGTAGGGTATGTGGGGAGCACTCCTGGGACCCAGCCCTCACCTCTAAGGAACATTTACTTACTTTATGCCACACACAGCAGTTCAGGGACGGGGAAACACAAAAATGTTAGTCCCCTTGCTGAACCTCCAGGTCTTTGTAATACTCTGCTTCTGGAGGCGTTCAAATCCTTTCTCACCAAGGATGATGCAAAGTTGCATTTTCCACAGTGCAACCCTGTTCCCTGGGGTAAAGACAGCAGCTCTCACACGCCTCCGTAGCCTCACTTTGCTGTCAGGCAGGCTCAGCTGCTATCTTAGCTATTTTGAATGTCCCTTAATTTCAGGGACTGCTGCAGAACAGGGGCTCTCACACCACAGTATCTCCACAATACTGAGGGGAAAGGGAACCCCATCATCCTGCCCTCTGTCAGTTCACATCCAGCACTTCCTCCCCTTGAAAACAAGCCCAGCCTCCCCCAGCCAGCTCTAAACACTTGGGCCAAGTACGTCATAAATTCAAGTCAGAGATAACACAACGGGGGACAAAACCCAAAATAAAACAACAAACAAGAGATTGCCCCTCTATAAGATTCTGCCTCTGATTTCTGCCTCAGATCCTCCATCGCAGTGGCTAAGCCCACCAAAGCTGTATTGCAGAAGCCTTAGAGCACAGGGATTAAAGCAGACCCCCCTGGCTCCACCGCCACCTCCGTCTGTGCCCAGGGCATCCTGAGTGCAGCACCCCAGGGCTGTCCATGCTGCACAAGTCCCAGAGAGTACTGCAGAGCAGCTGGAGGAGGAGGCAGCTTTTCCTGTGGCTGCCTTGTGGCTCCCAAGGTTGTTGGTTAGGTGCAGAGCTCTGGAAGGTGCAGAGGGAATTAAACTCCCCAGTGTACATAACGAAGGTCCTGAAAAGCTGTCCCTATAATTAGCTGTGTACACAGCAAACACAGTCACCGGGGCATTGCTTTTGCTCCCAGGCTTGTTTGCAGAACCAGAGCTTCATTCATGTCCTGTTTTTTTTCCCTCCAGCACTGAGGAAGAGTCACGTTGCTGTGCCCAATTCCTGTAGCTGTTGTGTCTGCACAGGGCCAAGACACAAACCTCAGACACCCATGTAGCAGGCCAGTTCCCCTCACACTGTTTGGTCTGAACCACAGAGGTGCGTGACAGTGGAAACATCTACGCTGCCAAGGCTCCTCGCAGACGTCTCCGCAGAAGACCTTCCCACTTTACCTTACTGCAGAGAAAGCACTACAACCCTTCCTAGGGAGGAACGAGATATAGCCATAAAAAGGAACAATTTTCCCATTGAGGGAAGGCAAGCAAGGCTCTTGCTAGGAGATACAGCCCTGCATGTTCTAGGACTGGTATAAAACCAGGAGTTCAAAACCATCACACACCACTGACATGGGGATGTTGGAAGGCAGGTGTGAGTTTGCTCTGCCTGGGCTCTGGGCCAGTGGGAGGTGAGTGATCTCTGATTCTCAAAGCTGTAGTGTGTGACCAAGTCTGGGATGAGACCCTGTGGCTCCCCAGTGCTTCGGAGGGGCTGAGCCCTGTGCTCACACCTTCACACAGCCCTAGGGTCAGAGACAACTAATCAACCTTCCACCATGCCCCTCGCACAGGGCACACACACGCCTGGTGAGCCTCATGCATTGCACAGGGAACTCCAACACCAAAGTTGAGGCTTCATTCATGCTCTTCCAGTCCAGCACTGCAACCTCTGCCCACACTCAGGGGCTGAGCCACCAGCCAAAAGCAGCGAGACATTCTGACACCCTAGACCCTTCCCCTCTCTTTGAGGCTCAGCCTCCTGCTCTCAGCATCTTTCCTGTACTTCTGCAGCCATTCTTCAGTGTGTAAAAGCCACAAAAGCATCCAGGAGGATTCAGGCATACATATTGCCATGAGACATACGCTCATTCAAGAGGTCATCTGATGCAGACAGTTCTCTTCCCAGGCCCTACCGATGGTGTGGGCATGCTTTGCTCTGCTCACCAACAGCAGCTCCTGGGTAAGCTCACCGAGCAGGAGAGAGGCTGCAGTGCAGTCACGTGATGCTACCAGGCAAGGCCCCCCCATGCCAAGGAGTGCCACCAAGAAGCACAATCTTCACTTGCAGCTCCAGGACTAGTGTGGAAATCTAATGCACCAAACACAGTGGCAGGTATGTGACCCACCCTGAACAGTCTCGTGCTTCAGAGTAAAAGACACTTAAGAGGTCTGCAGAGATGGCTCACTCCAGCTGTTATATGAACACTACATCCATGACCCAAACCTTATGGCGTTGTAGGCTCCAGCTGATGACGGTGACATCTCCACTTCTGGGACCACATGCTATTGGCAGAAGGTCACTGTGAAATGGCTGCTCAGAAGAGAGGACACACGAGTAAAACAGTTTTATGGGCTGAGGGCAGGTGCCTCCACTTTTACCAGCCTAAAGAAAGAAATACGCAGCATGTAATGCCCCAAACTCACCTCTCCCTTGACATCTTCAGTGTTATTATCTAGTTATGTCCAGAAGCAATACCACAGGTTCTCACAGGCCACATGCAAACCAGAGGTTAGGGAGCACTCAGTTGTGACAAGGGGAGTACTGAACAGAGGTGGTTTGCCTCTCTCTCCTCTCCTCCCTCTTTTCCTGCTCTTTTCTGAACTGCCTCATTTAGGAAACAACTCTTGGCTATTGCATTGACCACGGAGCTTCTGAGACCCCATATTGCCCACTGCCCTGCCTCTTAGGGGAGAGTTCCTTGTCTAGGGAGACAGTTTCCCAGCCTTGCCAACACAAGGCACAATCTTGAATACTGTTTTGGTCATATCACTCTTCCTTGGAAATGTGCTGCAATTTTGATTCCCCATACCAACTATTACAGCATTGGGCTTGCTTTAGGTAAGAGGAGGAGAAGGGAGAGTAGAGCACTAAAGGAGACAAGTCCAGCTGCATGAGAGACAGAGCCTTAGGGAGATGCAAGACATCAGGTTGATCCACATGAAAGAGGCAAGAGCTACCACAGGGCTCACACCTGCCTCTCTATTGTACTGAGAGCCTCCCTGCTGTGGCCCTCATCATGGTGGCTGGCAGTTACTTTGCATCCCTTCCAGCTCCTGACTTCTCCCTCTGTGGTGGGGAGCTGTGTTTGCCTCATTCGCAAGAAAAACTCCTTTCTATTCCCAGTTCTTCACCTTGGGCTAATCTCTGAGAAATGAGTTTCTCAGCTCTACGCCTCTTAGGCTCCCTGTCCCAAGCCAAGTCTCTCAAGCCCTGAGAGACAATGCAGTCACTGTTTGACAGGAGCATCCACACTCCATGCCAAAGAATGCTGAGCCAAGTATGAGGCAAGCCTACTGCATGCATCTAGTACAGCAGACCAGGCGTGGCTCATACGCCCCACCTGCGAGGTCCCCATCCCCTGTATGCCAGCACTGGGACCTCTGAAGGATGTCTGAGGTCAATACACAGACATTAGCCTTTCCCTCTAATGCAGTGTGGAGATATCCCCTATCTTGCAATGCAACTTTCTACTACCCTTCTGCCACAGCTCCCATTCCTCTTAGCCTCAATCTGCATCTTAGGCTCATTCATTTATGCTGCACCAGCTCAGACTTGCTGTACCCAGTGCTGTTCTGATCACAAACCTTCACAGAAATCTCTCATCCTCATGGAAATATCTGTTGATGATGGGTCCAATTCCATGGGGAATGATTCTTAGCAACCAACCTGACTAGTTAGGCATTGCAAGCCTGGTTAAGTTCAGAGAAAGGAGATTTTTGAGCTTACTCACTCAGAAATACACAGGCTTTGTCCTTAAGTGAAAGACATAGGGGGTGGGAAATCACATATTTGCATAAAAATTCAAGCTATTCACTTTCTGCTTTATTTAGTAAAATAAATGGAAAAGTTCATGTGACATCAAACAACCAATCTGTTCCTAGTGTCAGGAGAGGCTGACAGTGGATCCCAGCATGGCACCAAAAGCAAAGAGAATGAAGGGAACAGATCTCTGGGAACTACAAGCTTTATCTGGTATTGCCATTTTGCCAACAGCGGTGGCATGGAAGGACACAGTGTAGGGCAATACCAGAGCTCCTGGAGTACTGAGAAAAGAGAGCTGGAGCCAACAAATGAGAAGGGAAAAGAGATTCCTAGAGAGGACAGACAGCATTTATGTACCTAGCATGGAGATGGGAATCCATGACTGACTTGGCCCCTTATTCTACTATCCCAGGAATTCCGGAGCTGCGGGGCTCAGTGAACTCTTCATACACCAGAAACAGATTACTCTGGGCACAGTGATCCTGTTGGCTGAGACAGAATCAGAGTTCCTCATTGAGGGCCTTCTCCTCAGGTTCATCTTCTTTCTAAAACACATTAGAGGCATGAAATCAGTTTTGACGTTGCTCCGTTTCTCAGCATAATGATAAAAGGAAACAAACCAACTGAAATGCCTCCCTCTGCTGTCTGCGCCACTGCCCTCCCATTTCAATTGCACAACACAGGGTCCTGACACACAAAGCCCCTGTGCTGTAGGAAGATGAGCTCTGACAGAGAGAGAACTCTTAACACTGAATGAACATGGAGATTAAATTGTCCCTTTTCCAGCAGAGACCCCTGGTAGAGTCCTGAGCCCTTGTCTGTATAGTCTGTTCTGTGGCCATCTTGACAGATTTCCTTCCTATCCACGGCACTGTCTCTCTGATCCTCGCTTACGTGCTGCCATCCACCACCCCTATTCTCAGTGTCCAAAAGCATCCTTCACTCTGTCTCCCCAGCTGCTGTTCCCAGAAAATAGGTGCTTCACTGAGACCTTCATACAGTTGCAGAGGTCAGTGAAGTCTTCTTGCTGTAGACTAGAAGGCAGAGGTCAATGAAGAAAGAGACTCTTCAAAGACATCTATCTCTGCTCTGCTCTAGATCTAATGCTTTTCTGATATTCAGGTGCAAATGAAAATGAAAGAGAAGGTTGCAGGGGTGGGGAGGAGTTCAAGGAAGTGAAGTCACCTTCTTCAAGAACCTTATGAGAAACAGCATCATCCTACAAGATCCCAGATTCCTGTAGACTGTACAGGAGTCCCCCTTTACCTTCTGCATTCTTTGTAAGAAACGATTACAGAAGTCCTGTACACGCTCGACAGAGACTTCATCCAGGGTCAAAACATCCTGCTCCTCATCTGGTGTGTGGAATATAGCCAGAGCTGGCAGCTGGGACTTCTTCAGTTTGAAGAATGACACTAGTCGTTCATTGCTGTTCAAATTGCTGTCTACCAGGATAAAGAGAATCTGTGATAGAAATAGGAGAGGAAATGTGAGCAAAACAGAAACTGAGGGAGAGAACAGATCCCCAGAGAGTGATCCTATGAAGATTAACAGTGATATTTTTATAAAGAGTTAGAGAAAACCTACCATACTCTGTTAGGACAATACTTTCCTCTGCCACTATCTAACTGCTCCATGCAGCGCATTTTTCTGTATTTTATCAAGTCCAGACTTACACTACCAAACAAAATGTCTTCTTTCACCTTCTTTAAAAGTATATCAGTATGGCAGGAAGGCAGTCTCCACTTCTGTTCTCTTCATAGATGAGGAAACAAGATGTCTTTTATCTTAGTGGCACATGTAAAAGAAGCTGACTCCGCTACTTGCATGTTATTTGGATAAGATGCTCACATCCATGCAAGACCCAGAGTGGCAGAGTAAAAAGGTGTTTTGGTGTGTGGAGAATCAAACTCAATTGCAAGAATGTGGGAGTGAAGTACAGGGCAGCAGGAGCCTGCAAGGATAAGAGCATGAGAGCACCAAACACAAAGGACATATTTAAGTGAGCTGCAGTGAATAGAAACAAAGATGCCATCATTTGGGAAACAGGAGTTGTTGGCAAGACACCAATGGCCATACAGCCCAGCTCAGTGGAGGGTTGTTCAGACCTGGGGAGAGAAGCCCTGCAATGAATAAGTCGGGATGAGAATGGCCTACAGTTTTCTGGGCTCCCAAATAGTCTTGGAGAGCAAGATCAAGCCAAGGATTAGGATTCTGCTGGGATGATTCAACAGAATGGAGTTATCAGAATTGGTGAACAACTCCGTGATTTTATTTGAAGAGTAAGTTTCAACTGAGAACTTACAGGTGCAGTAGGAATCGGTACAAATTTAAAATTTTGGAATCTGAAAGATTATTAATAAAATATACACCTATCTCAAAAATCTTTGTTAAATTATCTGTTAATACTAAATACAAACATTATGTATAATTTTTATAAAAGAAAATAAATACAGTAATTGAACAATTTAATCAGTGGCCTGGTTAAATAGAATCCCTTGGCAGGTGACATCCAAGTTAATGAAACAAACATCCAGCTAACATGCGCCATTTTATCTTCTCTTTATCCTGTGCAGTCTACTAGGCCTAGCGTATTCAATGTACCTATGGACATGGATATGACTTAACTTACACAATAAAAAAGAAGAGTTTCAAAAAAGAAGAGTTTAAAAAAAAAAAAGTAATGCAACGTGACGACGATGTGCCCAGTTCCCAGGCTGTGACTCATGTTTTTCTTTCTTTTCAGTCAAGAACACTCAAGTTAGATCAAAACGTTTTTCTTCTCTAAAAATAAATTTGGTAAATCTCAAATTCTTTACTTTATTAGATCTATGTTCTATAAAAAAACAAATATATCTGGAAACTTTCCTAGGCAACAGCCTATGGGAAGGAGGGATAGTTAGGCTAGCGTAAGGTTTAACTGCAGTTAATCACTGCGATACAGAAACTGGAACACCACTTTCACCGGGTATATGATATTTACCACTTGCAATTTCTCTTCCAAAAGTCAACTGCTCCAAGGGCAACAAGCTAGTGAGCAGACAAGTTGTGAGGTACTTCTCCCAGAGTGCTAAATTCATCCTTTTGCAGGATAAAACACCAAGCTACACAAGGGTCACAAATCTAAGGGTCACAGTTCTAAGGACCTGATATAAGAGGCTTTCAGCTGGAACAGCAATACTTCTGTTTTAGGGCTCTCCTTCCAACTAGCAAGCTGGAAACAGAGGTCAGTGTTGGAAGGAAGCACTTTCAGAGGGTTGGTACAGGAAATGGGATCACATTTTCACCAGTTCATTCACCAGCTTTTGGGTTTCCCTATGAAAGATTCACTAGACAACATTTTTTTAATCAAATGTTAAACAAGAATTTAATCAAAAAAAGCATTTAGAATACCTAGGTTGTTAAATGTTGTCACTTTCTATACAAAATCTCCTCCACCTTTAAAACAGATAAATAGCATTTTAAAATGGTAATATAAATAAATGTTAGTCAATATTCTTCACTTTATCAAGCTTCCAGTCTTTGTTAAAAATCCCAAAACTAAAAAGCTGTACATATTTTATCCATGAGTACAAAGAATAGAGTAAGAATAAAAGAATAAAAAGTTTGGGGTTTAGAACTCCAAACACCTTCTTCCTTACAGAAGAAAAGAAAACTACACAAACAACTGGCCCCTCAGCTAGAAAGGCTGAGCTATCATCATTCACAGTTCCTGACTTGGATGTCTCTAATGACTCACATTTGGCTCACGGAGTTACAGGGTGCCGAAGTACAGCAAAAGTTTCCTTCCCCTCTTATATTCCAAAAATACAGGAGAGAGAGCAATTGCATTTGTCCACTGTCACTTGAAAGAAGACACCTTAATGCCTATCACTTGCGTTTTAGAATGACACATTCCCAGCAGGTGCTGTGATGTGGGATGAATCCTCCTTCAGCAAAAGGACAGGCCGTGCATCCTATGCTGGATGTGCTCCAGGGGTCTTGCCAAGGCCTGTGTGGCCTCAAAGTCACACCTGTGAAGCAGCCTGTAAGGTGCGTTGGTACTGAGGCCACAAGCACTGGAAGCCTGGTCTCCTCAGCAGCTGGAAACCCAGCAGGTTTCTCAATGGGGACATTTCCACGATAGATGCCACCTGGTGGGACTGGCATTTTCTCATGAGGAATTAATTTTGTTCAGATTCCCAGCCAGCTCTAATCATAAAGAATGAATGCAGTAACCATGGAAAATTATACTGACCATGAGACAAGATTCACTTTGCCTAATTTCTGCCATCTAGATCTTAAGTCTTGTCTCAGCCAGTCATCTAGGCAACCTCTACAATAAATGGTATGATAAACGGCACTTGATTCCACTCATTTTAGAAGAGAAGGAAGGACACATCTGTCCTTCTCTACCAGTGCTGAAAAGAGCCTAAAGCCTTAGCTCAGACAACTTACCAAAGCTATAATTCACCAAAATAAATCCCACTTATGATGCCAACTCTCACATCACTGCTAGAAACCAGGTAGTTCCATCCAAAACAGAAAGTTCATTTACTATTTTACACTATGCTGTACAATAGCTATTTATATCATTCTGAAATTATTTCCATGAAATTGTTTCATTTTGTAGCAATTTTCTTGCCTGTGTTCAGACTGTTGCTGCTAGAGGCAGTGAAGGATCTCCTGCATGGATGAGGAACTTCTGACACAAATTCTCTCCCCCACACATGATACTCCAAGAACACAGAACACAGTGTGATATTATCTGTGCATTGTCACCTGCAATAAGCTCTCTTTCAGAAAATTTTGTACACTGATGCTGTCTTGGTGTCTTGACAACTTGATTCCTAGCCCAGTGCTTTTAGAACATAGAGTTCCTGGTAAATACTAAGATATGGAATGATGTTATTGCCTAAGGAATTAAAGTTAATTGAAAATAGTACTGCAATGGTAGAAACCAATTTGATGTTGTTTAGTTTTTCCTCTAAGGAAGACAAACAGGAAAGATGATCAAGCCTCATATCCAGTGTTTGACTTTGAACTTCACAGAGCTGCAACCTTCATTCTTTGAGGAGACTGTATAAGCAGAAAGATCAAATTCTGAAGTTTGAGGAATTTCTTACATAGCTTACATATTACATCAAAGCAAAATGAAAACATCAGTCATGAATTAAAAAAAAGCAAGCTACAAAAACAATTTTACTGCAGATATCTGTTAAGTGACATAGACAACCCGTATTTACAGGTTCCACTGTTTATGGCTAAAAGAGGAATCTCTAAATATTACCTCTCTCAGTTCTGCAGCTATCAATGTCTGACAAGAAAAATAAAAAGTGTATGAATGACTGTCTGCAAGAGAAAGGGCACCATCCTTTCATTTCCATGGAAGAACTCCTGAAGGACTCTCAGTAGTTTCTCAGAACCCATTTCTAAATGGGCCTACACGTAAATTAAAAGCGACTTTGCAAACATCTCTACCCAAATCATTTTGACATTGTAAACCAGTTATATCAGTTGCAGCAAAACCTGCTTTTGTTATTCCCAACATGACCTTATTGAAACTTCAGGAAACACCCATGAGATACACCAGCTCTAATTGTCATGTTATACTCGGATACTGTAGAAAGAAAACTGAAGATGCTTATGCTAGTTTGGCTCAGCAATGCAAACCCTGACGTTTCCTTTCCCATAGAAAGCCTGGACTCTTGGTAGTACTTTCTCAAATAAGCACATATCTCATTGCAGCGAGATCCTTCCCAGAAGGCTGGTGGATTCACTCCTGCAGCTGCAGTGCTCTGAGCTCTGTCTGTTCACTGTTACCCACCCACAATTGTTTCTCAAAGTCTTCTAGAGAAATACCGTATTTCTTCTTATTCTTGTCAGCTCTTGCTGGCTTAGCATCATCTAACATTTGCACTTTCCTCTCCAGCATTTTATAGCCCCCAGGTTCCACAATAAAATCTAAAGGAATCTAGACTGCCTTCAGACACTCACTGCTGCTCAGGGTGCGGTTCAAGCTGTTTTCAAATAATGGTCCTCACCATACATCCTCATGGATCCTCCAGCTGAAAATCTGAGCTTCTTCTCAGGCAAAATCAAAATTATCATAAACTAGAGATGAAGGGACCATAATCCAGGAACTGGCAGGTGAATCACCTCCTCATGATCCATTAATGGTTGGACTCAATGATATTAAGGGTCTTTTCCAACCTAAATGATTCTATGATTCTATGATTTTCTTCACTCTGTGGGGTCAGCCACTCAGCAGCAGCAGTTCCTCTTCATCCCTCCATCAACCCAAGCAACAAGTTTCTCTTCTCCCTCTAGCTGGTGGTGATGACAAGGACGCCTCTTCCCTCAGAGCGCAGCAGAGATGTGTGAAAGGATCAGCACCCCTTCTCCTGCTTGGGAACCCTCCCAAGGCTCTGTTTGTGTTCTGCACTAGCATTGTGGAGAAGATGCAACACACACCGAGTCTCCCCACTCTGTTCTGGCACTCTGCAGTCATTGTGAAGCACTGCTGGATGCAGTGATACATGCTCACAGGGAGCCTGAACACCTCTCCACTGCACAGCAATGATTCCTTGCTCAAACCACTGACAGCAGTAACCCTGCAGCACAAACAAGCCTTTCACCACCAGCCCAGAGGCTATGAATTATTCACTGGTAATCCTCAATAAAATTCAAGTCAAGAATCTTGCATTTATTCACAGGCAATCTGCGAGCTGCAAAAAGGCAAAATCTCCTCAATACTTTACTTGTTTTGAAGTAAACCTGAGTTACCTTGGTAGTCCTGACAACAGGTAAGTCCACTTAGGAAAATTAGCCAGCAGAGATTTCCATGGTATTGTGCAGTGGCTGCTTTTGATACCCAAACTAATTCACGTCTTTCTACATGACAGAGCAATGGAGACAAACCTAAGTGGGCATATTGCTCTGCTTACTCCTTAGTATCCAGATCTAAGACCCAAACAGAGGGATCCTAGCTCTCTCTTACTGCTTTGTAAGGGGGCAGTCCAAATCACAATTTACTCCTCAGAGTGCCACTCCTTTGGGAAAAACAACTTATTAGACTCTAAGTCCCTTCATCTACATGTTCTGCAGTACCACTGCAGTAAAGTGGAAATAATTAGTCAAATCCCCACATATTTAATCTCTATATTTCACTCTGGCAAACTTCTAGACTGATTCGGTGGGAAACTTGCCTGCATGAATAAAAAAAGGTTAGATTTGGCTTGCTGGCAATTCATAAATTATCTGGACTTCAGTACAACATTTTATCCAATGTTTTGTGAAGTATTTCTAGGAAAATTATTCTCATTTGCTCAGATCTAGGCATGTCACATGAAGAGAAAACTAGCTGCAGCTGCATCAGCAAAGGGTAGCGATGCTAAACTGTAATGTGCTGTGTTAAAAGAGTTAGCTGCTTGGGAGAGACCTGTATCAGACTGCTGCTCATGGAGGACAGTGATAATGGTGTCACTGGAATACACATCTCACATGAGATGGCTGGAATTTTTCAGATAAACAAGTTTTCTTTTATCACTATGTGTTCCTCAAAGTAAAACACTTTTGAAGAGACCTTTTGACTTGGATGCATGGTTTCTGCCTGGTCTCTTGCCAATGGGTGGGACAGATGGCAAGGTCCGAAGTAGTCCTGCCATAAACAAGTCTCAAAACTTTTGAGGGTGCACAGTTCTGAGGTGGCCCCTCCATTTGAAGATGAGAATATACTTGATTTTTAATCTGCCCCTTCATTACCACAAACAGATGCATGCAGATGTTCTTGTTCTCAATCCCCAACTCTTTCCAGCTCCACGCTTCTCTGAGGAAGATGTCCTCCATTGCCTCTCAGTTCAGCCTTCCCCGCTGCTGTGATTTTCTGTCCCCTCCCATCTGCTGTTCTCCCTTGCCCCAAATGTCTTCCTTTTGCTCCCAATCCTCCTTTGCTTGCCAGTTCCTTCCTCTGTTCTCCAGACACAAATTTCCCTATAATCCAGCTGCTGGCAGAGAATCAGCCATGGGATGATTTACTACTTGGGAGGCTCTGCCCGCAGAGGGGTGGGAACCAGGCGAAATTTCTCTGAAAGATCCCATCTATCCCATCACCTTAGTGTGGGAAATGCGACAAACCCATCTGCAACTCCTTCAAAATAGCCATTTCCCCAGGATCCAACCAGAAGGCTAAGGGTCAAAAAGCACGGCGACATTAATTGCTGCTTAGTCACTTATATAATGCTCCTTGGCATCTTTCAGGCTGTATATACAAAATTACCTCTCACACCAGTGGAATGCAACCATCGCCAGACTGAAGTGCAGCAGCTGTTTGTCATCTCCCAGTGCAAAGGAACAAAACTGGACCAGAAGCAAGGAAGTACATAATGTCCCACTGAGGGAGCAGAGGAGCAGGATACAGAGGATATTTTCCCCACAAGGAGGCAAACTGGCAAAAGGTGAACAGATCCAACCCCTCCACTTAATTATCCAGCTAATCCTCTTTTCCTGCCACTTGGCCTTTGCTCCCCTAATGCACAGAGAAGGAGATTATGCCCTCCCCATCCACAGCAGAAATCACTGTTCTCCTTTTTTTCTCCCTAATGGCTCTCCGTCCTCTCTGTTTGGACTTACCTTCCCCTTGAAGAGCTCGGCTGCCGCCCGGTATTTGCGCATTCGCTTGGGGTGCTTTGGGGACATCTTGTCTGTGATCAGGAGGAGGTGAAGCTGGAGTGAACTCTGCATCACACCTATTGCTGTCTGCCGAAAACACGGCCACCACAGACAGAGAGAGAAACACACACAGACAAGGAGATTGAGAACATTCAATCCGCATTGCATGCACTGCCAGAGGGACATAAATCCTCATGTCTCAGCTGAGATTTCTTTGCAAATCAGCCTCACAGGCAGGACAGCTTTCTTTAAAGCAGGAGGGATTCAATCTGGGTTCTTTGTGGAAGCGCTTAACCTCCTGGCTTTGCTTATTCTTAAAATGAGAGTCTGAAGACCACAAGGGTTCATCACTGGCCTCAGGATAGTCAGTGACTAGGCAGGGGGACTGCCTGGATACAGCATGCTGAAGTCTAGAGGGGCAAGGAAGTGGAGAGGAAAGGCCAGCAAACACTGACCATAAGGGTGCCCTGAATCACTGAGGTCCAGCACCCGGCTGAAATGGGAGCAAGAAAGTGGGAAGAATTTGTGGTGTCAGGGTTGGCATCTCCCCTTATTTTCTTTCTTTAGCATTAAGCTGTGCGTAGGATGGGGATGAGTCCAGAGTTTCAGCAACCCCAGGGCCTGGGCATTCCAGAGTGCTGAGGATTAAAATTGCCTCTGCAGTCCCACAGTGGGAGAAGACCTGGAGCCAGCTGTCCCTCGTCCCCTGGGCAAGGGCCAAGCGGGCAGCACACACTGGCCTTCTGTGAGGAGACAGGGCTGGCACTGCCCAAGAAACCGCCGCACCATCTCCAGGCACTCACTCTCTCACTCGCTCACTCACTCGTCATCTCGCTTCTCCTCCTGCCTGCTTCCCGCAGCCCTGCAGCCTCTCCCTCAAACTAAACAGCAGCCAGGCCAGACCTGCTGCCTCCCCCTTGCCACTGAGACCACAGAGGTGCAGACTGTGCAGCTCCCCACCGGAGGGAGAAGAAAGTTTCCACACGCTCCAGGAGTAATAAGGAAGCGGTCAGGGAGTGCACGCTGGCAAGGGCTGTGCACCGCAAAGCATCTAGTTTTTGGCAGCCGGCAACTCTGCCATAAGCCTAATATTTATCACACATTTTGTATCCCTTCTCTGGTGGTGTGCAGATGGGGCAGGAGAGATAATTTCCCTCTCTCCTCAGGGAGAGGACAGGGCTGAAGGTGAGGGTGAAGCTTGCCAGCACCAAGGGCCATGACAAGGCTGGGCTGAGAGCGGGCAGGGCTGGAGCAGCAGTTCGTCCAGCAGCTCCACACAAAGGGGTGCCTGTCCACACAACCTTGTGCAAGAGCCATCAGCAGAGCTCATCAACATGGCCGGGTCACATCTGACTCTTCTGGAAAACTCACAGGGTAAGCATTGCCTAAAAATGCCTGAAGTATGTGGCAGAAACAGTAAGGGCCCCAGGATGGGGAGAGAAACTCTTGGCAGCACTCACTGTGATCCACGTGACCCCAGCCTCTGCTGACCAGCAGCATTCTTAGATGTAAACAGCATATGCACTGGGAATAAATATTTACGAAAAACCAAGCTACATTAGCAGAGCTGGGAGGGTTTTGGGCCAGAGACTGCAGGAGGCACTGTGAACTGCAGTACCTTCAATAGGCTCCAGTGTCTGGAAAAAAAAATGTAACAAGTGTACTGCCAGTCAGGGTGGAGGGGACCAGCTAAACAGCTCAGGACTTCTCAGTCAGGGAGACAGCCTGGGTGCCGAACAGGACACCATGGAGTGAGAGCCCAAAGCATCAGCAGAAACGCATGAAGAAAGAACTATGATCTAATGAATTGCCAAAAGATGCAGTGGAGGCTCCACAGGTTCAGAAGGCCTGGGTGATTGTAAAGATGATAAGAACATCCCCGCTGACATGACTTGGGCGTTCTCAAGGGGCTGCGAGGACAGTGGGCAAGATACAACTTTTCTGTCCCCAGAAATATTCTGTGATTTTGAAATGCATTTTTCACATCCCCTATCAAGACAAAAAAACAAATCCACTTTTTTTTTTTTTTTTTTTTTTTTTTTTTTTTTTTTTTTTTTTTTTTTTTTTTTTTTTTTTTTTTTTTTTTTTTTTTTTTTTTTTTTTTTTTTTTTTTTTTTTTTTTTTTTTTTTTTTTTTTTTTTTTTTTTTTTTTTTTTTTTTTTTTTTTTAAGAAAAAAACAGAACTATTACAGTATTTCATTCTGGAAACAAAATGTTGCATTTCCAAAACAAAATGTTCTCTCTACTGGTGGGCTGCACCTGAACTGGGGAATGTGTCAGCCCTCTTAGCTGATCCTTGGCATCAGCTTGAAAAGGTGTAGCTTTGAAACAGGTTGGACCGTCCTCCTTTGATTAAATTGAGCCTGGTCAGCACTGTCGTAGCTATTCAGAAGTCTGCAAAAGACCCCATCAGCAATGATAAAGTCTCAGCCTTGTGGCCATCGGGGCTTCTAAGACCTATTGACTCCACAGCAATGAGCCCAGTGAACTGCTGAGATTTCAGAGGAGCCTAAATCCTTGATCACCCTCTATAGCGGGGAGGAGCACTTGGGACCCTGCCACTGCCAGTCAGATGGGTGAGCTAATGAAGATGGCCTACATGGAAGCATCCCGTGTCTGATGGTTTTTTTGTTGAACTGATGAATTCTGGAGTAAGGAATGGAGGGGATGGGAAAAATTTTGCTTGGGAAGTTTCCAACCAGCTCTTGAATATGTCTTCAAATAACCACGCTTACGTCAAGCCCTATGTGCTGGGTGATGAAGAAAAGTCTGCCTTCTGGGAGTAGGTCACTCGAGTTTCCATGTTTCTCAAGGATTCTCAGCCAAAGAGAGGGGATCCTGGCTGAGCAGGGTCTGCAGGCATGACACAACACGGCAAATACCCATGGGAGGAAGCAGCACTGCCGGCAGGAGTAGTAAGAAATGGAGCTCTCTGCCCACCAACACCCCAAATTTACTGGAAAGCTAAAGGAACTGCCATGCCTCCCTTCCTCTCCCCACCCCACTCACATGCCCCAGCACAGTGGGGGGCTTCCAGTCCCCGTATGGAGCAGCAGCAAAGAGCTGCGTGGCTTCCCCAACCCCATCCACACCGTTGCCGCAACCCTTGCACATATCTGGGTGTGCAAACTCTTGGGCCAGAGGACACCCATGAGGAGGAGGCCAAGGGCCAGGGTGAGGGCTGTGGGGAGCTAGTAATTACCACAGGGTTGTACTCTGTCACCAGGCGGAGCTCGTTCATCCGAACGAAACGAGTCATCTTCTCGGCATCAACATCTTTGCTGTTCATATCCAGATCCCTCCGGTCATTGTCTACCTGAAGGCATGCAAAGACACCTACAGTTACAACCATCCTCTCCTCTCAGCAACCCCTCCAGAGACACTGATGGCACTCACTCACAGAGACACCCAACCCCTGAGACACCGCCATCCTCTCCCCACCACCACATAATCCCCACTTCTGGAGGTCCAGAACCTACAGAGACCAGCCTGCACTTTGAGGTAAGGATCTTCCACCCTCCTTCAGTCTCCCAAGGACAAGGCAAACTCATGGCATAAGAGAAATCACTGAGGACTCCAGACATCCCTACAGTATCAGCTCCTGATGCACTGGAGACAGGAAGGATTAGCTGATAAACTATTCTAGGCATTGTGGAGAGAGATCGTTAAATAGCCTAACTCCTCGCATCGATTTTGGCTTTACATCCCTTTTTAAAAATTTCATCTGCTTATTCTATTTCTTCTACAAGTAATAAACATTGGCATGGGCCTATATGGATTTCCTGGAATCATTGTGCAAGCAGGAAATATCTCCAATAAAAAGAAGATTTTTTTTTTTTCCAGTACAGCAGAAAAGAAAAGAAAAAAAAATCAAGCCCAGCACATTTTAGCCTTAGAGGAAAATCCATCCTGCCACACATCTCCCCACACTCCACCCCACCCCCCACCCAATGTGATTTTTTTGAGATTTTTATGACCTAGTAAACAGAAAAAAAGCAGGCAACCGTTGAATGATAGCTAAACCACCCGAAGGGGCAGAGTTGCAGTGCAGTACCACCACAGGACGTGACTGAGTTGAGCCATGGGGATGCTGGGCTGTGACACGCAATAGGATCAAAGTTTGGGATTTGAAGGTCTTTGATACACATATTGAACAAGGTTCTTGGAGCTGAGGAAAGGTCCACATGCACACTCCAGATTTTATTCTCTGCACCTGTACGACCCCTCTGAAAGTGCTTGTGTTATTTTTTCCAGTGGTGTGCAGACATCTAAAGCCCTTTTTGCTGTTCTGTGGTCACTGGCAAGGTCTTTGATCTGGTAGGGGGTCACAGTACCCTCTCTGGCAACCCAGACTGGTGCTTTTCAGACTGTGCGGCCTGATTCCTCTCACAGATTTTCCTCCTGCATAAAATGAAAGGGCAGCTCTACTCAAGTAACTGAGATCAGGCCAGTGCAATACCTGGGCAAGTGAGATCAGACAGGCCTTGGGAACCAATCTAAAGCACCCCGGACTCCACAGAAAGTCTTCTCTTGACTTTCATGGGCTTCTGGAAACACCTGATTTCCATTTTGGGTTAATAACATCTTAAATCTGCGCTCAACATTTATGATTTTAAGAAAATAGGGCTGGAAAACAGCCTGCATCTAATAGTTGAAGCTCTAGTCAAAATGTCTTTACCACTCCATATAATTAGCTTGTTAGCATCTGTTAAGTATGTTCTTTTTAGGTCTATCAGGCCAGATTCCTCACTAGAATAAATCAGTTTCCCTCCACTATATGCAAAGAAGTCTCACCAGTTGACAGCAGCCCCTCCTACTACTGTAATTATGGTTTAAACTCCTAAGCATTATAAGTGTTTCATACTCTGCAAAAACAAAGAAAAAATGAGTTTATGCCTCTGATTCACTCCTATCCTGGTCACACATCTTTGCATTCTTCAAATGAGTATTTGATTCCAAGTTCCTGTCTCAGTTCTTTTTTCTGTTACTTTTTATCTCTGACCCCTCACTCCTACACAGTATTCAGCACAGAATAAAAGGAAAAATAATGTATCTGAATAATTTAAGAAAAACTGACAATTAGACAAGTGAACTGTCAACCACGTTTGAACCTGACTAGTGTATTAGTTTCTTGGGGTGGTTTTTTCCTATTAAACAAGAGTTCAGCTGCAAAAACTGGACTGTGAACAAAGAATATTCAATATAATCCAAATTCCAACAATCCAGACACTGTCTTTTATCAAACACCCTCCCAATGGAGTCATCCTCACTATCTGACACAGCGCAAAAACAAAGGATCTTTTCAATATTTTTGGAAGAAAACCACCATGACTAAGAACCAAAACTGAGATGGGTGTTGCTTCAAATTGCAACATCTGCACATAGCAAACAAAAGGTTAAATAAAAGGACCTGCCTACCTATTGCTCACTCTTAGATCATTCTCTTTGAATTATTTGGATAATGCCAGTGGTAAACACAGTGCAGGAAATGATGAGAAAGAAAGGGGAACAAACTGGCTTTGTCCAATCTTTGTACAACCTGGATCTAGAACTTGGCCAAGCTGCCACATTTAGTTTCCCTAGTACACGTAGTGTGTCCCCATTCCTCCCCCCGCACCCCATGTGCTTAGAGCTCTGGTGACACAACACTTCACGGGCTTTTAGGACATCTTGTGCTACCTAGGGCCCCGCTCCTCCTCAGATACACCTCTCTCTCCAGTTTTCAAGTGCCACGCTTGTGTGAGAAGGGGCAACATGAGGAAATTGATATAACCAGTATCTTAGCTATACTTGCTCTTAGTTTTTGTTGGTACTCTTGAAGCAAGTAGATGGCCCTTCCCAATACTGTCTCCTTCAGCAAACATAGCTTCAAATTCAGTGAGGCACCAGCACTTACAGCTGGTGATTTGAACTTGCACAGCATCCATCCCTAAGAAACTGCAAAGTAACATTTTTAATGGGCCCATGCCCAAAGCATATTTAGAGAGTAACTCTGCAAACCACAGTCTAGGAGACAGATGAGAGGATATCTTTTGGTGGTGGAGCATCTGTAACTGCAGAGACCCAGTCTAGATCTGTTTTCAGTCACGATGGAAAAGTTGTGCACCCAGCGAGACAGCTTTGCCTGCCTGAAGTGACACTTGGCAAGACTTGGTATCAAGCCTGCTGTGTTGATCCATTGTAAAATGGCCTTTAGATGCTTTTCATGTGTCTCAGGAGCCTTTCCAAAACCACGGAAACTCCATCCAAGTAACACTGAACTCCAAGAGGGTCACCTGGAAACACAGACGTCGTTCTTTGCAAAGCACTGGGTGCTGGACCAGATCCACAGGAGATCTTAAAATGGAGAATCTCATCAGGTGTAATATGTGTTGCATGTCTTAGAGATGGGCACTCTGCATGTGAAAAGCAAAAGACCTCTTTGGGGCAGGAAGCTCTACAGATATGCTTTTAGGTGGGCAGGCAGAGTGACTGTCAACGACAAGCCCTTTTTTGGCTTGCTCTAAGGAGAGATGAGCAGCTTTAATCCCCTTCTTTATCACTACTACCTGGAGATTTCATTTCTTCTGTAGCACGACTGCGGGCAGCTTTTGAGCGCTTGCCCCAGAGACTCTCTCACCAAAACCAGCGGGCAGGGGAACTCCTAAACCAAAGCGTTAATTTTGCAGACACAGCTTTTTCCATGGCATCGTGTTTCCCCGGGAGGGAGCCGCTCGGGGGCA